GGATTTTCAAAATTTTTTGCCAAGATCATGACAATGAGTCGAACTTTCGAATGCTATGAAATTTTTCAAAAAAATAATTGTTTCATTTTTTTCGAAAATTTTGAGGCATGGGATTCGTCGACAAAATCTTCTAAATATCTCGAAAAATAAAAATTTTTAATGTTTTAATTTTTTCTTAAAATTTCGACTTTTGTGATCATTTTAAGCCCAAAATTTTGAAAATCCCACGGAATTTGCAGAAGTAATGGAGGTTTGAAATTGGTCGAAAACGTTAATTTTTAAGTTTGGCGCCACGCCACGGCGCCAAATATGAGTTTTACACGGAAATATGAATGGATCCTTCATCTAAAGTCCTAGTAGATTCTAAAAAACATAGTGGGTACCCTGGACGCTCCACCCATGTCAATAGTGTTCCTTGTTAAATAAAGTGTGGCAAAGCACGATACCTTACTAGCGCAAAAATGCATCACAAAATGAAACAAATAATTCACCGAGTCATTATTTTAATAATGCCCAAGCATCAATTAATAATGATAAAATAATTATCTTTAATTGACCACAGTCGCCATATTGCGACATGTCAAAAACACCAAAAAACATGTTTTCCCTAAATTTAATGCCAATCGCCCAAAAAGGTGCCGAAATTAGGCCATGGCGAGGTTTTTCGACATGATGTCGACAAAGTGGCCACACCCCCTTAATAGGGTGTCACCCTATGCCCGTGAAGAACACGTGTTAAAAATTTCAGGTCGCTGCGACAAACCGTCTCGAGTTATAGTGTTGACGGACAGCCAGACGGACGGACAGACTAACTAACCAACCGCAAAAAGCAGCTTGCGCTACTTAATAAGTATAAACTGTCTTACCTCCTTTGTACATGTAATGTGCCAACACCCGAAATACGTAGATCGCCAGGAAGAAAAAAAAGCTGATCTCCATTGCCAAAAATTGGAAGAATTGGCAGAATGGATCCACCCCCCAGATCATATTCAATATTCCGTATGGACAATCACTCGTAAGGACAACGGTGGATGCGAGAAATCCGTAATAGTAGTTCATAATGTGGGGCCCATCGTCCTCTGTGGGACCCTCATCTGGCTCCATTTTGTATTAAGTGATATTTGCGCTGTAAAAATTTTTACGGCAAATTATTTATTTTATTATTTATTAATTCTATAGCGTCGCTTAGTGAGTAATCCAGTCAAGTCCATAACCCAACAAAGAGAAATGCAGCCAAGTCCAAATCGCGTCAAAAATAAACCCAGTCAAGTCACCAATTTTGTACGGGACTTGACTGAATTTATTTTTGACGCGACTTGGACTTGGCTGCATTTCTTTTTGTTGCGGTTTGGACTTGACTGGATTACTCACTGAGCCGACGATATATTATATATTAATTTTAGTAATATTTTATTTTGCTTTATTAGTTTATTTATTCGTTTTAAAATCCCATGTAGAAAATTAAAAACGAGTTCACTTGAGTGTGGAAAAGGTGAATAACAGATTGGGTTGGTCTCGTTTCCGTTGCAGTTACTTAAATGTAAAGGACAGGAGTAAAAGTTTTAGTCCACTTTTCATAAATATAATATTAGACATTTATTTCGACGAAATATGTCAAGAATGGTGACCATTAGGGTATCTCTTTGTCTGTGCAGTCCACTTTTGAGATGCGTACACTGCGTGACAAAAGTTTCTTTACTTCTAAGGCTGCACTTGTGATACCAGTGCTAAAATCAGGATTCTTATACATACATACATAAAGTGCAAACACATGCACATATTTAATTTAAGAATGCTACAATTTGATTATTTCAGTTTGTGCATTTCAGTTTGTGAAAAGCTTTGGGGTAATTTTATTTGAGAAACCTTTGTGACATGGTGTTTATTTATACTTATTTAGAAGGACAACCCTTCACCGACAGAATCACCGATCTCTACGCCCTTTGGATATGCTGGAGTTCTAGGTGAGTCTAGCAAAAGTGAAGAAGGGATTTATTCCATGGCCCCATTTGTGCCCACCGCACCCACTCAAAGGCGCCAAAAACACGATAAATGCCCTGTTTTGGTTCATTAAAAAATTCACCAAAAATCCAATTTTAATCGGATTTCCGCATTTGCGGAAATCCGAAGGTGGGCGCAAATGGGGCTATGGAATAAAACCCTTCTTCACTTTTGCTAGACTCACCAAATACTACAAGATATGCAAAGGGCATCGAAATCGGTGATTCTTTCGGTGAAGGGTTGTCCTCCTTAGTTGTGCCGTTAGCGAAGGAGGTATGAAAAAGGTTGGTTTTCATTTCCATATATGTATTTTTAGCCTTATTATGTTTACATAATATATATTCATAAATTAATACATATTCATTAACAAACGAATATGTAGCAAGAACCTTTTCTTTGCTGTGTTTTCCTGGATATAAATTCACCGTTAGAGTGAAGTAGGTAGGCTTTGTTTTCTATCCACTTCAACCCTTCAAATCAATAGCTATTCATCTCGGCAATGCAAATCTACTCGGCTAGCAGGTAATTTTAATCACTGATAATGCGATGACGCCAGCAGCAGTCTCGCTCTTATTTTGACGAAACCACGACAATTGTATAGCCTTAGACAAATAATTAAACACGCGTTTCAGGATTTTCCATAATGCTCAGTTTAAACCAAATTATGATGAAAATGTTTAGCAAGAATTCGCATTTTCACCGTAAAATATTTCTCGCAAAGGAGAAAAGTGCAAATTATAGATCACATTTTCCATCAGGGGACGTTCATAAACTTCATAACGCAAATTTTGGCTTTTTTGGACAATTAAAATGCAAAGCATAATCATAATCAAATCTATCGCAATATTTATTACATTGTGACGTTATTTACCTAACCTACCTGTACTAACGCGATGAACCAAGTTACAAATATGATTCCTGAAAAATAGCATCTTCCACACTTTCCACAATTGGCAAACATTGCTATTGAAATTGTACAACCAGTCAACACAAATCATGCTATAAGCGCACCGCCCAATCTTAGCTGGATTTCTTTAATTTTTAAATTTGCTTCTAAATTGGAATTATGTTTGTCAATCTTTCTCATCCGTCTCTCATAATCGAGCCATCCCTGAATTCCAGCTTCTACTAGGGACTGAAAATATCTAGGCATACGCGACTCCCCTTGACCTTCAAAACTCCATCCAAATGGGGCCAGTATCTTTACTCTTATAGAATTTAATGTGAGAAAATTTTCTAGCTAAGTAATCAATCTCGGCGAGACTATCAGACGATTCGATTTTCAGAAGATGGATTTCTCACTTTTCGTAATTTCCTTCTGTGACCAATTTGTATTTCGGAGTCACTGATACCTTCCATAACTTTTGAAATATTGACAATATTGGTAACTTGTAAATTCTAATACTAATACTGATGTTTCTCCAAGTTGGAAAATGTTTTTTTTTGCGCATATTTTGATTTTTCCTGAAAAATTTCGAGTGTGAAAGTGGGGAATGTTTTATGTAGAAATGATCTACCCATTACATAATACCTTCAATTTAACAAAGGGGTCGATCCTAGGTCATGCGTTTGGAATTTTAGGATTTAGGGTACCATACAGTGGTAGTGAGTTACAAGTTGCGGTACACCCCTGCCAAGAGGATAATGGAGATAAGATTATTGTAAAGATTGCATAACACCGTCATCACTACGAAAAAAAATTATGCAAGCCTAAGCATATATAGATTAATCATTTTTTTACAAAACTTTAACAAGAATAGAAATTGCTTCAATGCTGCTAATTTTTGCCGTAAAGATGGGACATGTTTCACAAAAACAAAGAAGTTAATAAGACGTCAGCCAGCTACGATCCGGACAAAGGAAAATTTTTAAGACAGAAACGAGTGGAAACATTTTCCACAAGCTTTTAAACCTTGCCATTTAAAGTTTGAATTTGGTAATCTACAAATGCGTCCGGCGTTATTAAACGTGCGAATTTTGCATGATTTACATAATGTGAAAAAAATATACACGCTTACGTTTAAATAATAATACAAATATTTAATTGTATTAATTTACATTGCATTGTACCACTAAATCTGGAGAGGATAAACTGTCTGTACCGATCAAAGGCAGATGTATGAATGAATGATAACCACACTCTTAGCAACTTGGTAATAAAAAAAACATGCGGAGTATATATGTAACTCTACCGTGACGGAATTAAAATTTTACACCATGTTGGTATTGATTTAGTAACAAAATATCACTTTTTGGTAATAATTTTGACACTAATTTGTGTTAATTTTTTTACCATATAGTACTGTTTTAATACCAAATCATTACTACCGCGGTAGAGTCATATATGCACTCCGCGCAGTAATGATTCATTAAAATTTTGTTTAGAGTGCACTGAGGAGCCAAGTTTCGATAAGCATGATTCAACAACCTTTTGTAAGTGAGGGGTGGTTAGATTTCTAATCGTGATGGACGAAGAATTCCATTGTTCAAAACTTGGGTCTCCACTTACTCAACTCTAGATCGACGTTATTTTTAAATAGTTATTATCTCAACCACACTGTTGCTGCGTGTTTAGGGGATGTCCATAAATCATGTCACGGCTGAGGGAGGTGTGAGGGTAAACATTGTCGCGCCACAGCCCCACTTGTAAAAAGGAGATGACAAGGTGGACGGAGGGTCTGAGAAATCGGAACTTTTAGGTGAAATCGTTTATAAAAGTTCGTCAGATTTTGATAAATGAAGTGATTGAGTCATATGCGTGACTCATTATCAGGGATTTTCCATTATCAGGGATTATACACAGGTAGAGCACATCTCTCAGAGAAGGATCAATGTTCACATAATAATGCTTAAAGTAATGTGTTGTTGTAATCGCTCAAATTAAGTAAGTAATTTGACGTGATACACACATATCTCTGAGATGCGTCAATCTCTTGATAAAAACTATGCTTACATAAAAGGGAGTTGAGTACCGTGTTTGGCATTTATTAACAAATTGCCCCTTCACCTCGATTCATATACCAATTACAAAATACAATGAGAGGGGGCGTCTTACTATTCGTCGTACTTGCGGCGGCCTTCATTTCCAGTGGGGAAGGTAAAAAAGAGCAAATTTCCAGCTTAAGGTGGTATTTATTTTATGTGGTTTTCGAATTTGAGTTTTGATGCCTCAACTTTCCTTTGTTCCATGTATTCGTTCATGTGACGATTTTGAAACCTCTCATCTCCGTCAGATTTTTATCTACTTCGGTTTTATGTCGTCTAAAAATCGTTACTTTTTGCTTTTACAAACTTAATAGGTTGGTATTTTGATTTGTTTCTTCATGAAAAAATACAGATATGAATAAAATAAAATACATTCAAATATTAGCTTCCTACCTTAAAAAATTACGGTGTTTTGAACCAATAAAATTTTAATTTTGAAAAAACCGCCAGGTTTCAAGATGGTTATTCGAATACAGGAAAGTTGAGACACAAAAAAATCAAATCCAAAACCCTTGACACAAATGCGCCTTAAGTAAAAAAACTTATCCCAATTTTTTAAATCTTAAACCCTTTCAGGGCTTTCGTGTTACCAATGCTTTAATTTGAGAGGTGTCACACCCGACCGACTCCCGCCAGGGTTTAATTTTGGCGCCGGCTGTGAAACCGGCAGTCTGAGCGACTCATTCCGAGCCCCGTGTGACTCAGCAGAGGATGCCTGCGTGTCGATGGAAATGAAGGTGAACGACTCCATTTCCCTGATTGTGCGAGAATGCGTCCTCCTCAGCGTGGCGGGAAGCAGTGGGTGTTCGAAACCTGAAGGATCACTTCAAGGGGTCATTTGGCAAATGATTAAAGCCGTTGAACCCCTCCTTTTCAGTCCCACATTCCTGCCACAAAACCCACCAGCTGATTCCACGATGGATCTGTGCACCTGTACGGGAGACGATTGTAATGCAGCTTTTGCGGTTAAAGCGGGACCACTTTTTGTCTTTGTGGCAATCGTAACAGGTATTATGGCGAGCATGGTTTAATTTAAATATTTAGTTTTTCTTCTAGTTGTCAAAATTTGTGTAGCCCCTACGAATTGCGATACGGGCATGTTTAAATATTCTTGATTAAATTAATAAAGCAGATACGAAAAAGATTTTTTTATAACGAGTTAATGTATTTGCATATGGATGCACACGTACAGTCTAAATAATTTGGATTTGGACGATTTCATTAAATCGTCACCCGAGGTGTTTTAGTGCCCTGTTTTGATTGCGTATCTAATACTGAAAACCGGAATCAATTCACACACAAAATTTTGATTAGGATAAAATTCTCAGTGTTTCTGCGATTTTTATCTAAAAGATGGGTAAACATTTTTGAAAACAGGGTTTAGCAACATATAAAAACAGTAAAACAATAAACCTATACCAATAAAAACAACATAATACATTTTCCAGCATATGTTTCCAAAGCACTTGTAGTCGACTAAAAATCGAAAAATTTATAAAGCTTTTCAAGCTTTAAAATTTTATAGTTATTTTAAAGTACATTATTACGCATGGCAAAATGAAGTAATTAGTATGAATAATGAAGTACTTTATTATGAATAAAAGAAGTATATCTTTAAAATACAATTATTATGGTGGAACGTAGTATTAAATTATGGTCATATAAACATAACCCATAAATTTTCATACATCCTCCCACACGAAAATATTAATATAAAACTTCAAAATAACAGTATTTCGGTTAAATTAATTAGCTTAGATTTAGCATAATTAAGGCAAGAATTCAAAAACTTGGGTTTCTCCACAGCAACGCCGGTAGTAGTTCCGAGCCAAGCATAACTTTCTGGTGATCCAGCACTGCCGAATCTTCTCAACGAGCCACACAACGAAACTAACCAGAAGGAAGGCACCCGCCGTTACGAATACAAACGCTACTTTTCGTATCTTCAAAACTTCAATGGGAAGATCCAAGTAGGCCAAATTTATCAGATTTGGCCTCGTCAATGTTTCCCTTTCGTGGGATTCGTACCACAAAGCGGTCAATCCATGTTCAAACATTTGATTCGTCTTCCCGCGCATAAACCCGCCGCCACGGTCCCGCTTGAAAGTCCATATGCTAGGTTCGTTTGTTACAATTGACTCCTTCACAAGGTGACATTTCTTTTCTAGTCCTGCCCTCCGATAATAAAATGTCCGACTGATGCCATATTTCAGACAATTCTGCTTCGTCTTAACGAGGGCGACATCAACGATTTGAAAGCCGTCTGGAAATTGAACACCAAATTAAATCGGTTAGCTAATTATCTGTAATATTTAGATGTACATAGGATCAAGGGACGCCTCACAAAGTATGCTCTCACATGTTGAATACTAATATGAAATTTGCGAAATAACTATCTCAAAATTGGCACATTTGACATAAATACTTGGATAAAAAATGTGCAGAAAATATCAAAAGTGGAAAATGTGTCAAATTCAAAGCGTGTTTGAATGGAAATCTTCAAATATGAAAAATGTGCCCATTTGGCATAATTGCTTGTGCAACTTTTAACTAATTAAATTTTTGATGAATTGAGCCTAATTTCAAAAATCTGTGAGCATACATGGGCAGACCTCCATTTTGAGAACACTTGTCTTTACCATCCTCCGTTAAGTGTTTACTTCCCTCCGGGTCTTTTTCGGATGGTCCGAATTTTTCTCCACGTTCTTTTATCCTTTTATTTATAGCTTCAACTAATTTACGCAATTTACGAAGTGCAACTATGAAATTCATCATATTTCTTTGAGCCAAGTTTGCCTTGGCAATTTTATACGTGACACTCTCATACTCAAGGACGGTGTCACTCCAAATCTGTACCTGATTTACGAAAATATGGAAAGAATTGTTAATTAGCTGCTGAAAATTGTTGTAAATCTTTGGCTCATCCGGCGAAATAACACGCGCCGTGATGTCCGCCTCGTACGGGAACAAGACCGGGATAAAGACGAGGCTAAGGATTAAATGGAGGGGTTTAAAGTGGTTCAACTCTTGGCGAAAGAATAAGCACGTCATTCCAAAAAATGGGTATGCATCCCGGGGAGAAATTAATTTTGCGGTGAGGGCGCAAACAAAGTACGTAACGAGGAGACAAATCCATGTCGAGGAGTCAAACGCGCGGAACAACATTTCCGAAAAGGCGGATGGCGTGTAAGGACTGGGATCATTTTGGCAGTATAAAATGTGCAAGGCTTCTTCTCGGATTTTTAAGAAAGTGGTAATTAAAGGATTTAAAGTGTTGTGTTTTGTCCTAGGTCCGAACCCGAATGCGAGTATTTTCGGGGTGAAAATGGTGGAAAGCTTGACACCACCTCGCTCCGCATGGTCTTCGATAGCGAGCTGGATGTCTTGAACGAATATTGGGGTAAAGTTGAGATATTTTTGGAGTTGGTGGAGAACAATAAATCGTGGAGCGATTAAAGTCGGGAGTTCGGTGAGGTTGGGTAGTTCTGCTGGATAGAGTATACTTGACGGGTATATATTCGGCTTAGTGGCTTCAGTCGGTTCAAGAACCCAGATGTTGGCAAGGTTAAAATTTCCGGAAGGGAGAGGAACTCCTGTAAAATTGTTAAGAATTTGGCTAGATTTTCTTGGGTACCTGTTTTTGAGCGAAAACCTTAGACTAACTAATATGTAAGTTACATAATGTAACTAAAGCATGACATTCATACCTTGTGATGAGTCATATTCCACTATTTCTGCGGGTCGATGTTGAAACGCTCTCAACATTGCTATATGATTTATATCATAGTTCACATTTACAACAAAAATGTCACGAATACTGTCAATCAGCCAGAGCCAGTCCTTATTAATAACTCGACCAGGGATTGGCCAACCATCGGGTAAAATGTACACCAGCGTTTTAGCATTGTCCCCTCCGGAAACCAAGGGGAAATAAGGCGAGGAAGAATAATCCTTCAGAATCACAACGTGAACTTTGCATTGATTCCATCGTCTAGAAATGGAGGAGGACATGTGAAGTTGAATTAACCCCGTGTCCATAAAAGTCTCCAATAATTTGGGTGTTTCACTGTGAGAAAATAATTCATCCAGGTTTATTCGATTGGGGGTATTCTCGTTTCCCTCCAGAATCGAATATTTCCAGGTGCATCCCACTCGAGGCTGGGTTATGAGCGTGGGTAATTTTAACGAGGAAATTAAAAGTATGAAGAAAAATAGAAGAAAAATTGAGATTTCGAGCTTTAACATTGCAATCTCTATCAGAGTTGAAAGATTTTTATTAATCGGCAATAACGAGCATTTCGGTGTAGTTATACTATAGTAGTGAAAAATGTATCACTCAGAAAACAAAACGCGACCAATTCTTCATGAATTTATTGCCAAATCAGTACCAGCGTTTTTGCAACGAATAAGCAGGACTATTGTCATAGAAGCGCTGGGTACGATTATGTAGCTTTGGACAACAGGAATTCTGAATTCTTGGTAGAAATGGAATATAGAAAACAAGTTATGTAACAAAAATGGGAACGTGGGTATATTACGTCGTCAAAACGACACAAATTTCGTTACCACCATTCGCCCCATCCCTATTTTACTTGTTTTAAGCTTATGTAACACAAATAAGATTTGTGACCTAGCACCACCCACTCACCTTTTTTAACGACGTAATATATGGACATGTCCAAACTCGCCACGTGTAGGTACACATTTCCTAGAATATGTTAAGCTCTTCCAAGAAAGGAAATGTATTAAGGTGGCCTCGTAATGAATAACTATGAATGGATAACTCATTTATTAAGTAGCGCAAGCTACTTTATGCGATCGGTTAGTTAGTCTGTCCGTCCGTCCGTCTGTCTGTCTGTCCGTCAACACTATAACTCGAGAACGCACCAAGATAATCGAAATCGGTTGGCGGCATCATACATATGAACTCTGGGGGAGGATCCCGTAAACTTTTGGACCACACCCCCTCGGCGCCAGGGGGTGTGGTCGCCGTGTGATCGGGGCAAATGAGATTTATAGCGCAAATTAATTCTCAGCATTCTCAGCATCATTTCGCTACTTATGTATCGTGCTTTGCCGTACTTTATTTACATATGTATTCCTGATTCTAGGAATGTCTGCATATTTACGTAAACCTTCTTATCGCAAACACGGGCTTGGCCATCACGGGATTGGCAATAAGTGCCTACATTTGTGTGGCGGGATAATCTACCTCTGCCCCTATCGTATTATGGTTATGTCCCTACATGCCTCCCCATATTCCAATGCCGATACGGATTACGTGTTCGTTTTTAATCATTATTTTAATGGGATATCAACAAAACTTGTAATTTTAGCTTAGTCGGAAAATAGTCGGAAAATAAGTTATAAAACGCAGTAAACCGAAAAGCAGAAGTTTGATGATATGTATGGTACCGAGGACGGGATACGCGTATGAACTTGTTATGTCTTTATCCATTCGTGAGAATTTTTTAATCATGGAGACGACCTCCTCAGCAGGTCCTGTTCAAAATATATGCACCTGCGCATGTGCAGAGTCGAATTTCAATGTGTTGGGTTATTTTTATATTAAGTGTGGGGTTATGTATATGGATGGTTGTGAGATAATGAAAATTTTGGACAAAAGTAAGACTTTTGTCCCAAAATCCTGCGTAATATTGATGTTTGAGACAAATAATCATAGTTTTGATCTGTTATGTATGAATTTGCATCAGTGTCTCTGCTTCATTTATTTATTTATTCTCATCAAGCTTGATTTAAATACAAAATCTTGTTACGCTTGACGGTAACATAACCAGTAATAAAATTAGAACAATGTTTCTCATATTCGTGAGTACATGTTCCGGGTAGCAGTGATACCCGGAATGCGCATAAATATTTTACTCTGATTAGTACAGGTGGTAATAAATATTGCCATTGAAACTAACCTAACTTTAACCTGTACTAATCTTAAATGATACCCAAAACAACGCTTGATATTGGCCTGCTAAGGTGATAAGTATGCATAGTACAGAACAGCCACCAATCCATTCGTTCAATGGAAACATTATGATCATACATCCCGATTAGGCGATTACCTCATGTCAATCAAAATAATGTGCACATTATATAAATCAACAAATGCCGGCGTCATAGTTTTATATGTGTTGCGTATATGACGAACAATCCAGCTCTGTATTAAGCTACTCATCCCTCATTGTGGTGAGAATCCTTTACGAATGAACAGATGAACAGAACCATAAATGAGTTACGCGTTAAAATCAGCGTTCGTGACGGATAATATTCTGCAATGTCCCGTATACGTATTTATAATCAACATCCTCGCTATGCTTTATTGTAAATGTACCAACTGATTACAAATAACCTCTGCATCCGCAACTGGGAAGAGCGTGATCAACCCGGCTTATCAGTACCTCGACCGACGGCCGACATTTCTGCACAACCAACTCGGCACCATCAGAAGCCACACCTTAAAAAGTAATAAATATTCGTTTCAGAAAATTTATATTACAGCGAGTGAAAGTGAGTAAAAATTCCTTTGGTAAACTTTATGAGAATGCAGTAATCAAATAATCATACGCTAAAATCTTAATGATTGAGCCAATAATTGGAGGTAAATATTTTAAATGTCAGATATAAAGAAATCACACTTCTCGCCGCTTAAATTTTTTGGACTTCGCCCACCCCCATTACCGTGTGAATATGCAGGTAGTGCCGTATGCACTGGCCCATATTCCATTCTTTATTTCGCAACCGAATCCACATTTATTCCCTCCAGTTTACGGCCCTTATTTAGTCTCATAAAAAATCTCACAAGTATCCTGCAGGAGGGTCGCCCGTGGCCCAGTTTTAAATGTGAACCCGATTTCTTTAGATCTGACATTTATAATACTTATAATCGTCCCTTAATCTTGTTTAGAAGAACCTGGGCATGAAACTGCCACTAGATTTCGACAAGGTTTCGTGTGTGGATGACAGGAACGAACCACGTACTCGTGGGCTTGTAGGAATAATACTAATTTTAGGTGTGGATAGGTTTTATGTAAATAAGTAAGTAGGATGCGTGGTCAAATCACATATCGTCTAAAAATCCAGGTCCTGGGCGCATAAAAACAGCCGACTCGACCGTGGCTAAATTCACAATGGAGGTCTCCCAACGTAAGCTCACAAATTTGGACAAAACTGGTGTCACTCGATCACAAATTTAATTAGTATGAAATTTGCAAATGTAACTATCTGCAAATACGTAGGTTTGGCGGAGATATTTGCATAAAAAGAGGCGAAAACGCAAATTTGTAATGCAAAATTCGAAAAGTGTAAAATTGGTCGCCTTTTGGGCCCGTTTTCGCTTCTTTTTATGCAAATATCTCGGGCAAACCTACGTATTTGTAGATAGTTGCATTTGCAAATTTCATACTAATTAAATTTGTGATCGATTGCCCCCAGTTTCGTCCAAATCGGTGTGCCTACGTTGGGAGACCTCCATTGTCAGTAACATTTCTGTATGTGAACAGTACATCATGTCTTACGTATTTACTAGGGTGACAAAAATATACGAATATCTACATATGTAACTATTTTTAGGTGTTACGTACATATATTGAGACCTACGACGAAATGGGTCACGAATTCTCGATACCTTCCCCAGTCGCTGGCACTGGATCGGAACTATCTTCGTCGCCTCCCCTAGACGTGTCCACATCCCGCCTAACTTTGGAATCGTGCATTGGCGACGGTACATTTGGGCCCGTATTCAAAGCAAGGGATATAAAAAGTAAGTCTCCTGTCGCTGTGAAGTTCATGCTCCCAACCTTATGGTCAGAAAAAGGAGAGCGATACTTTACATACAAACTTGACACTTCAAAAGATCTCGATCCACATGAAAATGTCGTGAAAACACTGGCTGTGACTAGGAATCAATTTAGCTTCGACGAAATCAAAATGCTTCTCTGTTCAGATTTGTTAAATAGTGAAAAGCGACACGAGCTAAGATCCAAATATTTCGGTCAGTTGTCGGAATCTCCTATAGTTGAGGTAGTTTGTTTCGAAATGGAACTCTGCGGTAAAGATTTGCGACAGTGGATAACGAAACAAATAAACGACCCTGACGATAACCTTCTACGCCAACAAATCGTTATTATTCAAAACATCATAGCAGGATTGGAGCACTTACATAGGAACAAAATTATGCATAAATACTTCAGATCGGAACATGTAATATTTTCCAGCTTTGAATTCGCACTTCCCGTGAAAATCAGAGGGTTTAACAATATCGACCACAATAATTGGATGGAATGGAGCAAAATTAAATTGCGAAAATATGCGTTCTCGTTGGGATTGGTAATCTGGGAAGTGGCTCAGCTCCTTAAATTCAGCGACAGCAGGAAGTTTTTCAATCAACTTGTAAATAATGGCAATGAAGGCTTAATTACACTGCATCCAAATATTAAAGTGCTCCGGCATTTGATCACAGCTTTAATAGGGAAAACAGTTAAGGACAAGCTTCAAAATATGGAACAAGTCAGAAAATTTCTTGCGAATTGGGAATTCAAATACGACTCAATCTTACACAAATACATGACAGCAAGTAATGTTATCGAGCTGAACACATGCCTGGAAGACGCTGGTTCAGGATCAATTATAACCTTAGATGAGGGAGAATACGTTGGTGCATTTATCGTGAAAGGTGACAACATCACCGTAACTGGGAAAGGACAATTGACCATTATTGACAATAATAATGACTCGCCCGGTCTCATCATTGAGGGGAAAGATCACGTCATTTCAAGCATGTCAATCAGAGTGGTATGGGTTCAAGTCACAGTTGCTTAAACGTGTTAGGAGATGGAAAGTATCTGGCAAACAAAATAAGTTTGACAATTTAAATATTTCTGATTGCATTCACGCAATGGTTATAGACGGTCCAGGTACGGTGGTAGATAGAATAAAACTGAAGCTACCTTTCAGTGTGATTGCATCAACCCGGAACAGTACATCAAATGATACGGAGGCGGAAGGTTGGCCAAGCTTAGAAGGCCGCAAGTTTCCCAACATTTACGACCTAGATTATAAAGGCTGCCTAGGAGGAGGAAGTTTTGGCCTTGTTGTGCACGCTATCGACAGATCCGATGATTATTCTTGCGCCATGAAATTTATATTTCCACCGGAAATATTTGTTTCGAACGGGCCAGATTGGAAGTCGATTATGCGAGAGTGCAAAATCGCGATAGAACTTGAACCACATCCTAACCTTGTCAGGAGCTTTGGAGTAGTCATGAGGCGCATATCTGTGGAAGAGTATAATACAATATTTCCATCCAATTTTATGACCAGTGAGGAAACACGCAGACTTCGAGCGATCCACTTGGATCGGGTAGATCGAGTTGAAAAAATTCCGGCAATTTGCATCACGATGGAAATCTGTGGCGAGAATTTAAGGCAATGGCTTAACGAGACCCAAGATGCCCCTCAAATACGTCATCAACAATTGGTAATTATCAGGAATATGGTGTCTGGGCTTAAGTACTTGCACGACCGCAGAATACGCCATTGTGACTTGAAGCCTGAAAATGTTTTATTTACTAATGAAGAATACAACCTCCCGGTAAAAATTGGCGATTTCGGTCTATCTAGAATTACTAATTCTTTTGAGGTAACTACAACAGCAAGTGACTTTGGCACACGAGAATACATGGCTCCTGAAACACTGGGCACAAAGACATATTATGATCAATCCGACCTTTTCTCGCTGGGCCTTGTCATTTGGGAAGTTGCTCAGCTCATTAAATTCAATAAGAGGAGGAAGTTCTTTGATAGGCTTGTTAACGATCAAAAAGTCGGCTTGATTAAATTGCATACCGAAATTGAAGACGTCCGTGAGCTAATTATAGGCTTAACGAAAAGAGATATGGCTGAGCGAGTTCAAAGTATCACCGACGTCGCTCAGGTAGTTGAGAAATGGAAGCTGACTTGATAATTGCCTTTGTCTACACAGTATGCCATGTTGTTTTGACCCTGCGTATCACATGCAGCAAGACAACGATTGATTTCAATTTAAGACACATATTTTCACTAAAACATTAATTACAATACCAAATGTACATATTTTTGTAATTATTGTGCTCCATTTAATTATTAAAACAGATACATAGCCAACTATATATATTCAGGTTAAGTCTTAATTTCCGATAGGGACAATTTTGTGAGGCGCTGGTCGTTTACCTCTTTTTAAAAAATTATATATGTAAAATGATAATAAATCTAGGAACATTGTTACATCAATATAATCAACATATTACGTTAAACATATTTTCGTGTTTGATTAATTAAATACAAATTTGGTCATTTGATGAGAACACCTTTTAATTTTTTACTCGCAAGCCACAAAATATGTAAAAAAAATATGCACCAAACAAAATGTTACCTAAAGAAAATATGTGTATAGAAGGTCACCATATTCTTACCTAATCGTGATATTTATTCGCACAAATAAATAAATGTCATGTTCGCATTTCGGCATGAGAGGTGTGAAATCATGGGCTACAGAAGCAATCTAATTATGATGTTTATGACCTAACCATTTCTCCTAGGTCCATACTTCATGCAATCTATATTAAAATTTCGAAAAGTCCGTGAAATTTTCATATCTGACCAAATTTGAGCAATTTTTAACCAAGACTTAAATATACCAAAATTGTCAAAAAATTCGCACACTTTGCCTTTTATCTCGAAAAATGCTGGTGCCCCCCCCCCCGACCACAATATTATTGCAGATTTTTAGTGTACACAAACTTATGCAAATTTAAGCTACACTTTAAACAAAGTTGAGCTCAACTGGTTGAGTAAAAACATGTCGTGGAAGTTTCCCACAACTTTGATTAAAAATGCAATATCCTAAGTACAAATTTAATACAACCAAGTTGATTAATTCTCATGTTACTTAATATTGGATAAAATTTGACATGAAGTTGGAGAAAATCGAATTTCATCAACTTTGGTTGCACATTATCCCAAAGTTGATGGGACATTACCGAAAAATAGTGCAAACGTTACACTTCTGGTTGAGTTAAAGTAGATCAACTTTTTAGAGTAATATTTACACTTGAGTTGCATGAAGTTAACTCTTCCCACTTGGCGTCTACATTGTCCGCGTGGTATAAATGCGTCAGTTGTTGTTCGCGAGCAAAAGAAGAAACAACGGAAAATATGTCTCTTTCCTTCAATTTTTCCAAGGTCGTAATATGGAGCAGATACTTCACGATGCTAGCCTGGCATAATATACAGATAAATTCACCGGTACGATCTTGAGTATTTTTTTTCTTAGATTTACTTATTTGTTATAGAATTATTTTTTTACTAGCCCAGAAGCCCGTCTTAAAGACGGGCCGATTTTAAAATTGCCAACCACCATCTGAAAATTATGAAATTATTGCAGTATATAATAGCTCAGTATATCTATCCTAACTTTGCTCTATAATCATATGTTGCTAACTAATTTTTTTAACGTTGCTGAGGAATTTTTTAACGGTGCTAAGAAATTTTTTAACGTTGCTAAGGAATTTTTTTAACGTTGCTAAGGAATTTTTTTAACGTTTCTAAGGATTTTTTTTAACGTTGCTAAGGAATTTTTATAATGTTGCTAAGGAATTTTTTTAACGTTGCTAAGGAATTTTTTTAACGTTTCTAAGGAATTTTTTAAAAGTTGCTGAGGAACTTTTTTAACGTTGCTCAAGACCATAATCATAACCAAAATCTTAACCATAATCATAACCATAACCATAATCATAATCATAACCATAACCATAATCATAACCATAATCATAACCATAATCACAACCATAAGCATAATCATAACCATAATCATAACCATAACCATAACCATAATCATAACCATAACCATAACCATAACCATAACCATAATCATAACCATAATCATAACCATAATCACAACCATAATCATAATCATAACCATAACCATAACCATAACCATAACCATAATCATAACCATAACCATAATCATAACCATAACCATAATCATAACCATAACCATAACCATAATCATAACCATAACCATAACCATAATCATAACCATAATCATAACCATAATCACAACCATAATCATAATCATAACCATAACCATAACCATAACCATAACCATAATCATAACCATAATCATAACCATAACCATAACCATAATCATAACCATAACCATAAACATAATCATAACCATAATCATAACCATAATCATAACCATAACCATAATCGAAAATCGACTGGTGGTCTGATTGGCGGATACAGAAACCCAGCAGCCAATCAGAACGCAGGAATGTCACGGAAAATTTCACCGGACGGACTTTTCGAAATTATAATATAGAAGATTATTTTATTTCATATTTAGAAAACGATGTTGACGACTAATCTTACAATTTTTTCATTTTGGTTGAGGTGAGTTTCATTGTTGTCTTTAAAATCTCTACGTTTTAAAAAATAAATTATATATTTTGTATTAATGATTTTGGGTTGCGTTGTAGACAAATGAAGATCTTGAAATATTTCGTATGACCGAATCCGTTATCAAGCAGCCTTTTGTTGTTTGTTTAGGAAATTTGAAGTTATTGGACATCAGACAATCATTCATCATGGTGGAAAGGCCCCTCATTGCAGCGGATTCATTGGTAAAAACATCGGATCTTTGTATAAAAGTCTTCTACGTCCTACAACTTCAATCCCCAGAAGAGTGTAAAAGTGTTTGGGGTATTTTTTAATTATTACGTGTTTCAAACTAATGAAATCAAGTCCGCATCATTTTCGGTTGTTTTGCTTTCATCACAAATCAATTTGGAGGTAGTGGAAAATGAATTTTAATTTTAATAATGCATATAAAAATTGTGATTCGTTAAAATTTTATTATTATTCTGTCAGTACTTCGCAAGCTACTTTATGCGATCGGTTAGTTAGTCTGTCCGTCCGTCCCTCTGTCCGTCAACACTAAAACTCGAGAACGGTTTGTCGCAGCGACTTGAAATTTTCAACACATGCTCTTCACGGCTATGGCGTAACACCCTATTAAGGGGGTGTGGCCACTTTGTCGACATCATGTCGAAAAACGTCGCCACGCCCTAATTTCGGCATTTTTGGGCGATTGGCATGTAATTTGGGCAAAACATGTTTTTCGGTGTTGTAGACATGTCGCAGTATAGAGCATGTGGTCAATTAAAGGTAATTAATTTGTTTTTAATTAATTCGTTTTTAGCCGGAACCAGGGCTTGTGTACCCGTTCTGTCCGTCTGTCTGTCTGTCTGTCTGTGTTGCGATAACTCAAGAACGCTTTGGCCGATTTGGATGAAATTTGAAAGAAATGTGCATCTATGGAGTGTGACGTGCTGTATAATTTTTGGGTTTGATCGGCCAAGTGGTTGACCGGTGGGGGTCAAATAAGTGGGTGGGGTATTATGCACCAAAATTTCAAAATTGTAGTAGAAAGCTGAAATTTGGCACATAGCTAGGTAGGGGGTCCTAATGGAAGAATGTGAAGTGAAAGTGGTAAAATTTTGGTCTGGATGGACCCAACGGGGTGACCCATACTGATTTTTCAAAATCATCCAATTAAGTTGAAATTTGGTACGGAGGATGCTAATGGCTGCTAATGAAATAATCTAAAGTGAAATTGAATTTTTTTCAACCGAAGGAACCCTATGGGCTGACCCATGCCGATTTTTCGAAATCATTCAATCGAGCTGAAAATTGTTACAGAGGTTCCTAATAGCTCAATACGGAAGATTATGAAGTTAAATTTGAAATTTTTTTGACTGACGTGACCCTAGCGGAAGACCCCCACCGATTTTCGGAAATTAACTTAGAAAGCTAAAATTTGAAACAGAGATCCCTAGTGCTTTTTCATACAATAACATGAAGTTAAATATGAACAAAAAGTTACCTGAGAGTCACTAGGGGATAACCCATACCGATTTCTGATATTCAGTTGAAATTTGGTATGAAGCCGAAAATAACTATGGTTAGCATTTAGGTGGGATAAATTTCTAAATTTTTATATGGGCGACCTCCACTGATCATAATAGGAAGTAGTCAGGTGAAAGAACAATAAATATGCTTAGAATTTGGGGGGCAAGTAATACGAAGAATTGACCGGTAGTTAATGCAGAAATTAGTGACAAATAGTAGCATATAAATTTATATAAACCTACGGACATGTATGGGTGTACTAATAAATCCTGGTTCGGGCTAAGCAAAGCTGTACTGATAGGTTATTAGTAAACAAAATAATGAATAATAATAAACCAAAGTGACTTTATTAATAAAGAAATGAGCATACTTTATTCGGTATATTGAGTGAGCGTTCATCGTAAAATGATTAAAATTTGACCAAAAAACGAGTAAATTGTAATCATCTAGTGTATTAAATTCCACTGTCAGGCGGAGTAACTCTAAAGCTCTTATAGTATCAAAAATTCAACAACTTGCTGAGCACGCTTTGACTAAAAGTTGAGTAAAAAGTTTTCTCAGCCTGGAGGAGTAAATGTTAACCGAGAGTTGTGTCGTCAACTTTTTTACCCCGAAGTTGTGTTAACCCAACACAAAGTTGATGAAAATTCGCTAATTTTTTTAAAGAATGTATCATGCATCAAAATCGTTGCAGCGCGAAAATAAGACGAAATTAAATAATACAGAATGATGGCCCAGAATCTTGCATTTTGTACTTTGTCCTTCTTAAGTCATAAATTTTCACAAATGAAAATATATTTTTAGAGAACCTTACTTGTATCAGCTGTACCTTATGAAAGGTGAACCAGTGTTCATTTTATGCAAAGTGTAATTTAATCGAATCTCAGAACTACACCCGGTAGCCACCTAATAAATATAGCTTCTAGCAATGTACAAACAATCATTACTGTCTCCGAGACAATGTCTCGTGACATTTACACAATTGTTCAACATTCTCGTTGATAAATAAACTAAACAAACAATAAAGCGCATTGTCATTAGTTGGTTGGACTTTGTTGGAGGAATTACTTCATCGCAGCCGTGTCTTGTCTAACCTAAGATGCAAACAAATTGCTCCCTTATTCTGCTATTATTGATCCACACGGTGCCTGCAGGTTCAAGTTGGTTAGAACTCGTCGATAGGAGAAATGTCCCCACAGAGTTTCAAGTGCTAGCCACGTAAGTGAGACATTTCTCGTTCAATACGTAATTATACTCCAACGAATCCCTTACCCGTACATACATTTGTCATAAATTTGTTATGCTGGTCATATTTTGCTACACTGTAAATAATATGGTAATAAACATTACCGAAAAGCACAAGTATATGACTCTACCAGCGTGGTAATGATGA